CGTGTGTGTGTGTGTGTGTGTGTGTGTGTGTGTGTGTGTGTGTGTGTGTGTATGTGTGTGTGTGTGTGAGAGAGAGAGAGAGAGAGTAGGTTAATCATCAAATCACCTAAGCCAGAAGACAGACAAAACTGGAAACAAGGACATTCAGCTCCCGACATATATAAAGTGAATTTACCCTAGGATGGCCACACATGTACACACGAAGCAAACACAACGCAAAAACTTGTGCACAACACTCCCTTAAGTTAGAAGATAGCTTATCCCAAACGAAAACTTTCCTGACGTGCAAAATTGGCTATAAACTTTATTAACAAAAAAAAAGGTTCAAAAGTTTCACAACTATAGGCAGGAAAGACATACAACAATGCCTAACTGATGCCCCAATGCAATGACCCTGCACTCTATCTAATCAAAGTTTACAGGATAGAGGGTGCAATGGGGCACCAAAGGAGAGGATGAAGGAAGGACTAAGGCAAGGCAATCCCTGACACGCAAAGAGGAAAAGAGATAGAGCATCACAACGAGGCTCCCATGGCAAATGCTACAATGACAACAAGGCACAGCGCACCCTTCCTCTTCAATCCGAGACCTCAAGGGACAAATTAAAAGGGCAGCAAAGGGGAGAAAAACAGAGGGCCAAGCCCCCCCTCCCAATGCCCTCATAAACAACTCATTCTGCTATATGCCTACAATTCCCTGTCCTCGTTGTCTGTGGGAGGGTCCACCAATGAGATACATAGCCATCTTCGCTCCCGAAGACTCATGACGCCTGCCAATATGGTTGGACACCTTTGACCCAAGCAAAGCATGATTACGACCAAAGGCGATTCAAATTGCCCGACGCTTTCCATAGGCGGTCATTCAGAAGAAAGGTCCCCCTCCGCATGCACCCACCTTTCTCCTAGATGGCCCACGAGCGAATCCCATTCTTACCCTGCCAGGAACAACCATCAGGGTTCTGGTCAGCAAGCTATGGCCATGGCCCCCCATTCGTTGCTGGGCCACTCGGTCAGACCTGTACCATCTCACGGAGGGCGGTGTCGAATGTTCATCCTGGGATGACAGCACAGCAGCAATCCCTCCCGAACATGCCAAGGAGCAGCAAAGCAACAACCACCGGGGTTCTGGTCAGCAAGCTACAGCCATGGCCCTCCATTCATTGCTGGCCTGCTCGGTCAGACCTGCTCCCTCTCACGGAGGGCAGCGTTGAAATGCTCATCCTGGGATAACAGCGCAGCAGCGATCCTGAAAATGCCAAGGAGCAGCAAAGCAACAACCACCAGGGTTCTGGTCAGCAAGCCATGCCCATGGACCTCCATTCGTTGCTGGCCCGCTCCATCGGACCTGCTCCCTTTCAAGGACAGCGCCATCAAAACGCTTGTCCTGGGATGACAGCACAGCAGCGATCCCGAACACACCACGACCTGATGAGGCGATTCGTCATTTGCCAAGGAGCAAAGCAAACCTTGCTCTCCCCCTCGCCGTGGCACCAAGATGATCAAGCTGACAAGGCGATTCCCCTTGGCCTGACATAACCACTCAACTTCCACATCCCTTCGTTAGCCGGCCCACCCCCTGAACCACCCCATTTCTTGACCCATTCCAAGATCCTCTCTTTACCAATCCCTCACGTAATCGGCCGTAACCGGAAACTCGAGGAATTCCAAATTCCTACCCTCATGAACCCATCCTCAGATATAGGGTCACCATGTTCAGCGCTAAGAACAGTACCCCATAGCCGAAGCAGGGTTGGTCCCATCGCCAACCACCAAAACACTCGCGCCCGTTGTTCCACTCTCCCATCCACTCGAGCTTTGCCCAACTGGGACCCTCTCCTTTCCGTCCGACCTTCCCCTCACTCTACCCACGCCCACATCCTCCACTCTGTCCCGACTTCAGATGTGCCTTTCTGAGGTTGCCATGACCAAAAATCCGTAACATAGAGGACTCCACGTTGACGTCCAGCGTATCTCAAATAGAGGTCTCACATGCACTTTTCATTCTCTTAGAGACGCCCATCTCTCTGCCTCTCCAATCTCGCAGCCACGTGGCATGATTTGGGTAAAACATAAGGCGATCTCCCCTAGAGGACAGCAAGGCGAGGCCAAACTTGGACGGTGTTGGATGAGCAAATCCAGAGCCGCAGCACACACCACCACAAGACAGACACCAAGCAAAGGGTACAAAATGATTTCACGTAGAGTGAGAGAGAGGGAGAAGGGCCAAGATAGACAGAGGAAAAGCAAGAAGGGGAGGGTGGAGAAAGGCCAGTCACGGCGTTATATTACATTGTCGCATAAGCTACAGGCTAAGGAAGCAGAAGTAAAATAGAATTGAAAAACAAAACTGAAACAGGAGGGGGAGGAAAGCCACAATGATAGGTGCACGTCTCTCCGTCTTTGTGCGTGCAGTTGAGCAGCAGGTCCCTATGCATCTCTCCAATGGGCTGCCGAAGACAACACCTGCACCTATCTGACAACGACAAGCCAACATCAGTGTGGATCGGAGCAGAGAACAAGTCAGTCTCTGGAACTGGAAAGCACAGAGGTACACAACGGAACATCAGAGTATAACGGAACACACAGAGCAAGCACGTCTTTGAAACCAGCAAGTAAACAGGCAAAATCAATAGGTACTGCGCTGCGCGCCTATTGCTACAAGCCACACAAGCAGCCACATAGCAGACGATAACCATGAGCAGAAACGGGGTCAAGTGGGGTTGTGGGGACCACCACCTACAACTGGTAGGGCAAACGAATGAACTGCATGCAGGCCCGCTCTAGCAGACTGCCCATTCTCAGGTCAGAGGAACACAGCAGGAAGTTCATTGCAGTTTCATGCCCAGTGTCACTGAGGAGGCCAGCCATCTTGCCCGACCTGGCTCGAGAAATCTTCTTCCTCGCATACCTGTAAACTTTTCTATTCATCGATCCTTCTCATGCTCCCGTAACTGCACAAACGTGCTAGCAGGGTGCAGAAAAACTAGGCGTGGCACACAAAAATAAATACATAAATAAGTCGAAAGTTGACCCTCCCCCCAAAAAAAAGAAAAACATTTTCGATTTTATTAATTCAAAGACTGCGATTTCAAAGGAGCACTGCAGCCGAAGTTGCTCAAAATGATGGTTTTTTTTTTTTTTTTTTTTTGCGTTCTTCTGGTGTGGCAGCTCAGCAGCATGCCACGTACACAATCGTGTACACAGCGTCCGCTCGCGAGTACGATTCTTCTCATAGGTGGAGACGCAAGAAGCGAGTAGAGAAAATTTCAGAGAAGTCCTTTGTCTAGAACCGTTAATCCAGCATCCAAACACGACTGCCTAATGCAGCAACATACTGCAACAGATCTGCAGGTAGCAACAATTACATTGGCTATACAGGAGTACCGGGAACCAGACTATTGTCCAATTAGACCAGGTACACAGTACTACAGTCAGCCTATAACTGCACTGTCACCATCACGTCCAGCATAGCAAGAGCAAAAAGCTTCATTTATGCCACAATCCAAAAGTGTGAAGTCACCACCACGATCCTCTATAGCCAAGTCAGGCCTTCCACACACAAGAACCATGCCACAGTTGCCATTAAAAAGGAAAAAGGCGCATAAAGCCCGCTGCATGAAAGCAATCAACGGCAAGTGGCATCCAGCCTGACGAGCAAGTAACGCCATCATGCCCCCAGAAGCTGGAGCCATGTGTACACGCTCCAGAACCCACTACTTCTATGATACTTTATGCCAGAGCGAAATGGAAGAGACGGAAGGTGGGAGAGGTGAAGGAAAAGGAAAAGAGACCAAGACGCGCAGACATGCATGAGATGGAAGGTTTGCTTTACAGTTCTGTTTGCTTGTTATCTTGGTTCAATTCACATTCGAGTTCTGAAACTCGTGAATGCCAACCAAAAGCGAGAGGCAAGAAAAAGGCGATGGCCACACGGGAAACTCGGTATCTTTGTGTGCTTACCTTCTTTCACCAGCCGTCCATCTCTCTCCTTCCCTCCATCTCCATTTATCACCGCCTACCCTCTCCCCTCACACCACCTCCTCCTCCGCCGCCGCCTCCTCATCCTTCGCCTTCTCCGGCTTCTTCTTCTTCTTCTTCTTCTTCTTCTTCTTTTTTGCGTTCCGGCTCTGCCGCCGTTGATGCTCCTGCTGCTGCTGCTCCTCTTGCTACTACTGCTGCTCCTGCTGCTGCTGCTACTGCTGTCATCATATATAATCACGACAACGACAAGACCGGAAGCAGCACAAACCAGATGATGAAGGTCGATTGCGTCGCACCTATATCCCGCAGGCAGAGGGAGTCTGACAGAACGAGGTGTTTCAAGAAGAACTACCGTCTTCACCCGAATAGAATGCCCGGCCATGATCGCTGTACCTAGACTGAAAGTTGCACCACACGCACAGCTGTAATGACCGGGCCACTCATTATCGCTGCACCTAGACTGAAAGTTGCACCAAATGCAGCTGTAATGACCGGGAGTCCTATTCGGGGGAGGACGGAAGGAGACACGCGGCAGCTGCGCGGGGAGGACTTTTGCTGCGCATCATGTGTTCATCTCCCATTGGTCTAACCCCGTACCTAACGTCTTCACCCAACTAAAGCCCCCGGTCATTAAACCTGTATTGGGGGCAACTTCCAGTCTAGGCACAGCCATTATAGCCGGGCATTCCATTCGGGTAAAAGACAGTAGCCTCTTCCTCCCCCATTACCACCACAGCGATGATGTGCCAATCCACGACTAACAAACCCGAATCGAACGCACGGTCATTTGGAACGCCCACAAGTCGCTAACCGAACTCCAAGCCTTGGCACCAAAACCCCAGCAAGGGGATCATCTTCCTCAGAATACAACGCTCACGGTCATCAGACAGAAATTCGCCCCAACTACACAGCTATAACGGGGCAGGCGTTCCATTCTGGGTGGGGAAGACGATTGCACTCGGTCCTTCAGTCAGTGAGTGGCTGAACGACCAGCTGTCGACTGATTAACTGAGTTGCAATCAGTCTGTAAGTCAGTAAGCGAGTGAGCCAGTGGCTGCCTGAGTGATTAATATGAACCATTGTCTAACGGTTTGTCTAACTGTTTGTCTAACGGATTGTCTAACGGTTTGTGTAACGGATTGTCTCACGAACTGCCAGTTGTCGACTGATTAACTGAGTAGTCATTTGTCTAACGGATTGTCTAACGGTTTGTGTAACGGATTGTCTCACGAACTGCCAGCTGTCGACTGATTAACGGAGTAGTCACGGAAAACTACGATTGCAATCAGTCTGTCAGTCAGTAAGCGAGTGAGCCAGTGGCTGACTGAGTGATTAATATGAACCATTGTCTAACGGTTTGTCTAACGGACTGCCAGGGGAGCGACTGATTATCTGAACCGTCACCGAAAACTGTTGGCTACTGTCTACTCGCGAACACAACGCATCCTAATCATGTACACATCTAGATGTGTATAAGAGACAGCACACACACACATCCCAGTAGAAGAAAAAGAAGAAACAGAGCTCTGGGAAGGGGGAAGGAGGAGCGATGGAGGGCAGGAGGAGAATCTCTCTCTCTCTCTCTCTCTCTCTCTCTCTCTCTCTCTCTCTCTCTCTCTCTCTCTCTCTCTCTCTCTCTCTNCGGGGGAAAAAGCAAGACTTCAACTTTGCGAACGAGAAATGAAAGAAAGGCAAAAAAAAAAGAAAAAGACAGCGTAGGCAAACGAACGACGCATGGGTTGGTTGCCCGTTATTATGAATCGTCTCTCGGCGGGTTTCTAGTTTTCCTTCTTTCTACTGTTTTCTGAGTGCGTTGACGAAGGCTCTGGATGTCAAGATCGCACGTTGAATTTCTACATGACATCCTGTGATGAGGGGCCTAGCTGCACTACTCTCGAAATGTGCAAAACGAGAGTGAATCTTCCTCTAAAATATGGAAAGATACACCGAAATGATTTTTGTCTGTTGTGCATGTACAGAGAAGTGCAGCGAGGCCCGAGGAATCAGATTAAGCTCTGATCGACGAACGCAACCGTCAATTCCGACTAGATTCGTCAACTGGCCTTCAACTATTCAACAAAAAAGAAAACGATTTCTGCATGTCAGAGATGGGGAGGGGGAGCTCGCTCCACTACTCGTCACATGCACAAAAGACGAAAAATATACCAATGCATCTTTTCATGTTCTAGCGGAAGATTCATTCTCATTTTGCAACGTTTGGTGAATAGTGCAGCGAGGCCCATGGACACGAATACTCCACGAATGTTAGGAAAAACGTGGGTGCAGTCCTTAACGACGATCGACTGAGAGAGCAGGAACAAACAACAGCCCGACTGCTTGACAGAGCTGTAAGGGCGGACTGATGTACTTATTTTACCGCATGTAAAAAATGACGGAGTGAAAATGACTGAGTGATGACGTTTTTACTGAGGGTCACTGACGTTTTTACTGAGGGTCACTGACGTTTTTACTGAAGATCACTGACGTTTTTACTGAAGGTCACTGACGTTTTTACTGAAGGTCACTGACGTTTTCACTGAAGATCACTGACGTTTTTACTGAAGGTCAGGAGGGACTGGCAACGTGATATTTCACTGAATGTAGCTGTAAGGGCGGACTGATGGACTTCTACCGCATGTAAGTGAAAATGACTGAGCGATGACGTTTTTACTGAAGGTCAGTAGGGACTGACCGCATGTAAATGACTGAGTGATGACGTTTTTACTGCAGGTCAGGAGGGACTGGCAACGTGACATTTCACTGAATGTCACCGACTGGATAATATTCGTCGTATATAGACAGAGTTGTTGAATCAAATACAGCTAATTAAGGACCGTGCGTTCTATTCGGGTTGCGGCTGAATGATCACGTTTTCACTGAAGGTCAAGAGGGACTGACAATTTGATGTTTCATTCACTGAATGTGGGCCTCGCTGCACTACTCTCCAAACGTTGCAAAATGAGAATGAAATCTTCCGCTAGAACATGGAAAGATGCATTGCGATATTTTTCGTCTTTTGTGCATCTGGAGAGTAGAGCAGCGAGGCCCTGAAAACTCGCCGCCTCCGGCTCATTCTCGTGGTATCTGGGCTGAAAGTTACCCCAAATTCAGTTTTAATAACCGTGCGTCACCCGAATAGAACGCCGCCCCGATCATTATCGGGTGGAATGAAAGCTGTGCACCAAATACAGCTGTAATGGCCCAGCGTTCTATTCGAATAAAGGTGCGAAAGAGTAGTACCGTCGCCACGACGGGTAAATCCCACACTACCTTCTTCCCCCAAATACGTGTATTTGGGGGACACAGACAAACGAATTGCTTTAGGTAGTTATTATTGCTTTATTTAGACTTTTTTTTTTTTTAACAACACTCCTGCCAGTGTTAGTGGTGCTGATAAGAGCAGCCACCACTAGCACCTGGGGAGAGGCTCCATCTATTGGTGGGGAGCATCACCTGCTGGAAAACGGGTCCAGCGTCCCTTTTACAAAATGAGTTTGAGCCATATCAGAAAACAATCAGAACAAATGTGGGAGATTCAAGGTATCTAGAAGCCGGGTCCCCTACCGAAGGCGCGGATATATATCGTCACAAACAAAACTGCCCGGTAAAACCGTAGGCAGAGAGAGAGAAGAGGACAACAAACGAGGGGCTGTGACAAACTGTTTCGTCGGAGTTTCACCGATTAAAGGTAAATTGTCTGCCTTCCAAACAGAATGTAAGGGCCAGTTTTTTTTTTCTTTTCACCACATTAAAATTTAAAAACTTGTCCACAAATCTTGGAAAACGTTTGGCAAACAAAAAAAACTTGCTAAAAATAAAAATAAAAAAAAATTCCGAATGCTCCAAAAAAGCAAAAAAACAAGGCCGGTGAATTTTCTCAAAAATTACGAGCGCCTGAATGTTGCCCCAAATACAGATAAAATGACACCGCGTCCTATTGACAAGCTACCGTCTTCGCCCAAATTAAGGTATCTAGACTGAATGGTTGCCCCCATTACAGATAAAATCACAGGGCGTTCTATTCGGGTGAAGGTGGTGGTAAAATAATAGATGACATAGTAGACAGATTACTTTCTTATAGACTTATAGACAGACCCTCTACACATCCGATCCATCCGATGATCATCATGACAACAACGAGAGGAGGAACGACGGGCGAGGAGGGGAGGACAAGGAGGGAGGGTGTAGGGCATCGATCAAGCCCTGGGGCTAGGTCCCACTTGCACTAATTAAGAGATACTGACCGTAGATTGCAAAGATCAACGGCCGAAATCTCCTAAACAGACCCTCTACACATCCGATCCATCCGATGATCATCATGACAACAACGAGAGGAGGAACGACGGGCGAGGAGGGGTGGACAAGGAGGGAGGGGGTAGGGCATCGATCAAGCCTCGGGGCTAGGTCCCACTTGCACTAATTAAGAGATACTGACCGTAGATTGCAAAGATCAACGGCCGAAATCTCCCTCCTAATTTGCGCAAGTGGGACCTTGCCCCTGGAAACGGCGATGAGATGAGGACAAAAGAAGAAAGGAAAGAAAACTCACCCTCAACTCACGATGCCTCCGTTTTCTGTTCGGAAGGATTCAACCTCAACAGATTGCTTCTGCCTCTTTTGAACTCCACTTCCCTTTTGGGATGCACGTGCTCGAGCTCTTGGCCTTGCCTTTCGTTCCCGACAACTGCCACGTCAGCACCATCAGACGGATCTCTCCCTGCTGACCCATCGCATCCACCATTGCTCACTGGCCCCCCGGTTTCCGCCGCCGCCCCCGCCCTTCCCGTCTCCTCTGAGCCTTGCGCGCTCGGCGGTGCGCGATCCGCCAGCGCGCTCGGCGGAACCCGATCCTTCTCTTCAGCAGACGCTGATGCGCCCATCGTGTCCGCCGCTGTCGGCCCCCCCCCGCGCTCCAAGATCGCCGCCCCTGAAGTCGGCGGCGACATCCGAGACGAAGCAATCGAAGCCGGGGGGGGTTGTTGGGCACCACCTCCCCCTTCCCCCGCGCCCCCGGCCTCACCTGCTGCTGCTGCCCCTCCGCCGCCGCCAACTGCGAGTATCGACGACGGCTTGTCGTTCGTTGACGACAACATTTGTGACCTCGGCTGCTGGGGTCCTCGACCGCTCTTGGATCCGGCATCACTCTCTTGATTCGCCAACTTCCGCTTCTTCAGCGCGACGTTCCCGCCGCCTCCGCCGCCTTTCCCCCCCCCGCCAGCCCCCCCGCCCTTCTTCGGTTTCATGCTTGCTGGCCTCACCCCCCCGGGAAACACGTACGCGGGAATCCCCCTCCTCTTCACATGGGAGATCGCGATATCCATCCCCGTTTCCCAAGACAGAAACGTATAAAGCGTTTCCTTGAATTCTTGGACGGTCTGACGCAAGTCGAATTCTGATTTGCCCTCCCCATCCGAAAAGCCAGGCCTCCTCTGCAGCCCCATGAAGTACGCAGAGTGCCGTCCCTTCTGTACCGGGTCCATAAACTCGCACGGATACGGATGCACCTGGAGATTGCCGGAAGTGTATCTTTCCACCTTCAGCGTAAGTTGGCGTAGCCGGGATTCCACCCAGCCTGTCCAAGATCGGTGTGAGTCTGCGCTGTACGATGTCACGTCGATCTGAAGGTAGTGCGAGTACTCTTCGAAGAAAGGATAAGGTTTGAATAAATCTTCCCACCCGCAGTCGCCGTTGTAAATCTGGTCACAAATATCCTTTCCCCTCGCAAACTCCGCTTTCATCACGCGCAACGTGCTTTCCGATACGTTATAGCTGGAGTTCATGCACGGGTAGGCCGGGGTTATGATGGGCATCAGATGATACTTATCGCGCGGGTTGCGCCTCGGGTCCCACACCTGTAATCCGAGCGAACCTTCCTCGATATGGCACAGCATCACAGGGTTAGGCCATTTCCAATACTCGTACACGCGGAAAAAGCGCGCCACCAACATGCTCGGATTTGCATTAGGGTAAAGTTGGCAAATCCTCGCGACGAGCAGAGCCCAATTCACCCCCCCTAAGAACCCCGATACGTTAGAGTAGACCCCCCGCCTTCGCGCCCACAGCTTCATACAGCGCAAAGCCGTGCGGAAGTGGTCCACGTGCGGCACGAGCTTCAGAATGGAATCTGTCACTCGACAGCCATTGAGACTGACGACGCTCTTGTCATCAACATTCTTGAGGATGTCTTCTTTTCCAAGATCCAGATTCTCAGGAATCGCGAGGAGATTAAGACGCGCGTAGAGGAGATCGATGGAGATATCATTGAACTTGAATTTCATGACGGGAACGTGAGCATCTGGGACAGGATGCAGCTCCGTCACTTCCTTCATATCAAGAAGGATCCTATACAAGCCGCCAAAGAAGTCCTCTTCCCTAGACACATGGCGCGGACCGACGCAGAGTGTATCTATATCAGCACCGGGACCATGGACTCCCAGTCGATACGAGCCGAACGTAAAGATCTTGGCGTTTCCGATCTCATCCAGGAGGGTTTCGCTGTACCCCTTCTGCTTACTTACTTCTCTCACCCATCGCTTAACTATCTGGTCTAAGCGACCAAGCACCTCTTCACGCCTCACTCTCTCGTCAGTAGACTCGTACAGGTCATTGTTCTTCAGCAACCGCTCCAACTCCTCGCTCAACCTCACGTCCAATTCGACCGGAGGCGCATACGAAAGCGGTTCCGTCACGCCATATTGCCGTGCCAACAGAGGCTGCTGCTGCTGCTGCTGTTGTTGTTGTTGTTGTTGCTGTTGTTGTTGGTGATGCATCGTCGTCATCGCCGCCATT